TGATAGCAGGTTTCAATCTTTTGTGTCCATGTTTACCATTCCTTTTAGGGCCTTTTGTACAGCTGGTCTGGTGGTAACAAATTCCCTTGGTGCTTGCTTTTCTGAGAAGGATTTTATATCTCCTTTTCTCAAGAAGCTTAATTTAGTGGGATATGAGATTCTTGGTTGGAATTTATATTCTTTAAGAATGCTTAAACAGGCCTCAATCTCTCTTGGTTTGTAAGGTTTCTGTTGAGAGGTCTGCTGCTTGTCTGATGAGGTTTCCTTTGTAGGTGACCTGACCTTTTCCCCTAGCTGCCTTCAAGATATTTTCTTTTTGGGGTGGGGGTGGGGGAATGAAGGGAATAAATCACTGTGCGTTGTTCAGCCTGATGTGAAAGGATGGTTGGTGGTTTTCCTGCATTGTATCTTTTCTTTCTTTATTTTTTCTTTAATAAATGGGATGAGAGGGCAAAAAAAAAAAAAAAGATATTTTCTTTTGTATTTACCATGGTGAATCTGATAACTGTATTCCTTGGCTTGTACCGTATTTTACTGTGGTTTTCAGTATTTCTTGAATTTGAATGCCCTTCTCTCTAGCTAGATTAGGGAAATTTTAATGGACTATATTCTCAAATATGTTTTTCAAATTACTCTCTTTCTCTTTCAGAAATATTCACGAGTCATAGATTTGGTCTCTTTGCATAATCTCATATTTCTCAGAGGCTTTGTTCACTAAAAAATTTTTTTTTGTCTGATTGAGTTGCTTCAAAGAACCAATCTTCAAGCTCTGAGAGTCTTTTCTCAGCTTGGTTGATTCTGCTGGTTATGCTTCTGATCATATTATAAAATTTTTGAAGTAAATTCTTCAGTTCTAGAAGTTTATTCTGTTTTTTTCTTCAGATAATTATTTCATCTTTCAGCTCCCAGGTTGTTTATGGATTAGGTTTCAACTTTCTTCTTGATCTTGATTAACTTCCTTGCCATCCATATTCTGAATTCTGTGTCTTTCATTTCAGTTATTTCAATCTGGTTAAGAACTATTTCTGGTGGACTAGTGTGTTCATTTGCAGGTAAGGGCACGCAGTGGGTTTTTGAGTTGCCAGAGTTTTTACACTGATTCTTTCTCATGTGCGACTGCTAGTGTTCCTTTAACTGTGACATAAGTTGAGTATAGTCAGTTGGCTTTGTTTCTGGTTGCTTTCAGAGGGCCGAGACTCTGTACATATGTGTGTATATATATATATATATATATATGTACAGTGTGTGTGTGTGTGTGTGTGTGTGTGTGCGTGTGTGTGTGTGTCTCATTTTTTTCCTTTAGTTTTCACAGGTGCTGTATATTGGCAAAATATTTTAGTGGTGTAATTTGGGCTGTTATTCAATAAGTGGAAGTTAAGAGTTTTGGCCAGCAGATAGAGTATTCGCTCGTGACCGTTTTACATTTTGGTGCATTTTTACAGCAGTGCTCTATGGGTATGGAGGACAGAGATCCCTCACCTGTCCTGCTCCTGGGCCTTGGAGGAGTCCCCTCCAATTGCTGTTTTCATGCCAGTATTTCCTTTGTTAGGTGTTCTGGGCCACAAGGCTCCCTCAGGCAGGAAATACGATTGGCAGACAGGGCATCCCCTTTCCAGACCTACTCTGTAGTGGGAGGCATGCCCTATTCCCCTGCTGGCCTGAAAGAGCTGAGGTATCTCAGCACTCACAGTATTCTAAGAGTGAAGGCTCACCACTTGCTTGGACACTAACCATGCTGTTGTGTCCCATTCAGATAGGATCAGCAGGAGTGGGTGGAGTCATCTGCTCTACCCTCTGAGTGCTTCCCAGGGGAACATAGGGTTGTGTACACCCACAGAATTTTGGCAGAGGCAGGGCATTGTGCTGGAAACCCCAGCTGGTGTGTCCCACCAAGGTAGGAGCAGCAAGGGTGGGTGAGGCCTCTTGCTCCACTGTCCAGGTGCTTCCTGGGGGAACATGGAGGTGTGTACCCTGGCAGAGTTCAGGCAGAAGTTGAACTGCTGTGCTGGAAGCTGGCTCTGAGCCTTGTCTGGCAAGGGAAATGGTGCAATCTTACTGCCTCCAGGCACCATGACTATGGCCTCTATTATGGCTTTGGCAGCTGGAACTGGGCTGGTCCATGGTCCAAAGCCTGTGGGAGGTCCCATGGACTTGAGTGTTGCCTTTACAAAGACTTCAGGTGGCTCTTTGGATCAATCTAGAGGCCCAGGGGGCACTGTGATTCTCTCATTTCCAGGATTGTACAGGTCCCTGTGGGAAGTGTGAATCCCCCAGGGGCTCTCACTCATTTACCTTTTCTCCATGTTGGGAAGTTCCTTCTGGCTCCATGTCGATCCCAGATGTGCTGCTGCCAAGCTTCACTGTTCTCTGTTCTCAGTGTCCCCTCACTTCCTTGATGGATCCCTAGGAGGTTTTTTAGACAACTGGCTTGTAGTGTCAGTGTTTACTCACCACTTTGTTTCCTCCCTGTGAGAGCAGCACACACCAGCTACTTCTAGTCTGCCATCTTGACCCCTCTCTCATTTTATAGTATTAGATACCTGGAAGTCTTAGATAAAAAATCTCAAGGGTGTGACCCAGATTATGCATTGGGCACATTTAAGACCAGGAATGCACAAAAATCCTGCTTGTGACACATTCCTTCCATCCCCATGTGAACTTTGATGCTCCCTTGAAAGGTGTTTAGTTTCACTTAGGCTGATCTAGCCTTACTGGGGCCAAGGCTCTGCAGCTGAAGATAACTGAGGATGAGGTATTAGTTTCTATGGAAAAAATCCCCTTAGGCTAATCTGGAATCAAGATGATTAATACTTTTTACTAACAAATAAAAGTTCAGGAGTTCCCGGGAGTTCAGTCACCTTAATGCCATTAAAGCTATAAATACTCTTTGAAGACATAGACTGTTGATATTGAAATATCAGCCAAATGATCTGTAGCGGCTGTGGAAATTTACCACTTCCCTTGAGAAGTGACTCTGCTCATAGCCTACGGAGGTTTCTGAGTTTGCTTCTCTATTCAAATTGTATATTATCTTCCAGAGTTCTTAGCAGTACCCTTGGTCATCTTTGAGGGCAGGACAGACCCTACTAAATCCATCACTTAGGAGGAGGTAGAGGACTTTGCCTAGGGTGCCTTCATTAATTTCTATTATTTGCTCATGAATTCATTTTCTCCTACAAAAAAGCTATTAGTGTGGTGTCAAGATCCATTTGCTTCAGCCATTTTCCTTATTGTATTCATTCTGCATACTATTAGGATCAATTTCTTTTTATGGAACCATGAATCTTAGGACGTGAGCTGTTGTTCCAGGGAAAACTCGTAAAAGCAGCCACATTGATCATAGCATAACACCCCAGCTCCTGGGCTTGTTGTACCATCATAGGACCCATGTTGCACATTGGAGACACAAATCTCAAAGTAAGAAAATGCAGTGGAACATATGCTCTGCACATTTTTGGATTTGGATATGCCTAGAGATCTGGGAGCTTGGGTGGTTGAGGTAGGGGTAAGTGAATGGCATATGAAGGCAGTTTGTGGGGATCTGTTTGTGTGAGGAGCCACGTTGGGTAGGAACACATCTCAAAGGGAGAAATGTATGTGTATGAAGGGCTTGGAGTGTTTACCCGGTTTTGGTGAGGGACGTGGGGCAAGAGTAGGTATGATTCTGCATGTAATGTGATACCAATCCCTCTGATCTATAGCCAGCTCAATTCCATGGAATTGTAGCTGAGCTGCAGGGGAAGAGAGGACATCCTGCAATCTATTTCATTGCTACTCTCTCCACTTTATGTTACACTCAATTGGAGGGGTCTGGCAGTGCTGTGCTTGTTATCCCACCCGTTGGTGCCACAGACCACTTTGTAGTTTTGGCCACTCCAGAGAGTGGGTAATGGCATCAGGTAGGAACTATAGTAGCCTGAGAGAAGACAGCAGAGGCAGTGGGGTAGTAGTGCGCTCAGAAAAGACACATGGTTCCTGACTAGATTTGCATGTGTACATATAAATAGACTCCCATAAATGCTTATGGGGGTTGGGGGTCTTTGTCAGAGGCTGAAGTTTTACACGATCAGATGGTGCCAACGACAGAGACATTTTTACACTTGTTAATGTAATGTCACCTGGACCTTTAGGCTGTGGAAGTGTGGTGTGTGTTTGTGTATATGTATGTGTATGTGTATGTGTATGTGTATGTGTATGTGTATGTGTATGTATGTGTATGTATGTGTGTGTGTTCCTCAAATTCAGGGACACTCAATTAAATCTCTAGGGTTCCTTAGAGATTTAGGCTCTTTCACAGCTTCTCTGGTGCTAATCTGAAATATGGCTGGGGCAGCATGTCTGTATGACTTTCCAGTTGGTTTCCCAGGAGGAAGAAAACAGCTCAGAGCACTTGTTAGTCCAAAGGTTTAAATGCACTAGAGTCAAGATAATTAAGGATCTCCAGGAGAGCACAGGGAAGAGTAATTGAGAGAAGCCAAGTGAAAAATAATATGAGGAGAAAGGGAGATGAAGGGCATTAACTCACAAGAAGTTGGCAGGTCCTTGTTTAGATGATAGAAGGGCTGAGCTGATAACAAGAAAGGTTGGGACAAGTTGTAGCCAAAGGAAATTTCATTTGAACGTTTGTCAGGATGTCCAAAATGAGGGATCTATTGAATGAAGGGCGCAGAAAGGGAGTCATTTGACTCGTTAAGAATCAGCTTTGCCCTAACTGAACAAAAATCAGCAGGCTGAGTAGGTGGCTAAGAAAATACCTTTACAGCCTCTGCTGCTTCTAATCCTGACAGAGTTGGAACAAAGCTGAGCTTTTGAAGGCAGAATTGACACCATGTTGATGGCACTTGTGTCTTGCTGTGCCAATGCCATCCAGAGATGTGAGCAGTTAAAGGACTAAAATGAAATGGAGCCAGATCGATATTATTTGCCTGGGCAAGCAGTTGGGGGCCTGCAGTTCACAGGGGGCTCTGTGCTAAGTGCTTGATTTCTTTTCTGCTTTTCAGAGAGACGAGCAGTTCAGAGGAGTCTAATGCTCCTGCTCCTTCCTTCAACTTGGAGACATGGGCAGGTAGAACTAAAGTGCAGTTTGCTAGAAACACAACACTGTTCTGGGTGAATGATGGTTCTATACAGGATAATGCCTTTCTGAGGCTGGAGCACTGGCTTTGAGACTTCCCCATTCAGTCCAAGTTGGACCAAGCAGGCCTGTGTCAGACAAGGACAATGAATCTAAGGCAATCTAACGACTCCCTGTCGTTAAAAGAGTATTCATGTACTACCCAGCACTGTCTATGCTCCGGTGAACATGATACTTCACTGTTACCCTTTCTATAGGGTTATGGCAACCACCCCAGTTTCCAGGATGTAGGACTCTCACTACTAAAACCAAGAGAGCCCCAGCAACTTGGGACGGTAGTCACGCTAGCATAGCAAAGCATTATTAGGTATGCTCTGTGCTGAGTGCTTTACCTGATTTATCTCATGCATTTCCTCTGCCACTTCTGAGGAAGACTGTTACTTGTTCCCATTTTATGGATGAATATAGCCAGGCAAAAACACGTTAGCTAACTTGCCTAACAAAATGTTAATGTCAATTCTCTTTGGCCAGTGAGTGTCCAAGTGAACTTTACTGTTTTTCCATACATTGTTTATTAAATAAACAGGTATTATGCAATAATATTAAAAGAAAAAAAAAACATTAACCTATTTTCCTTGTGGGAAAGTAAGTAATTTACCAACGTCATGTGTTTAATGAGTTGAGTCTGGAAACTGCATTGATGAATTCCTTACCACTACAGCAGCAGGATAGGCTTAGAGAAGAAATTCCCTCATTTTAATAAGGTCTTTCTTGTTCTTTGGACAATTTCTATCCTTACCTCTGACTGCCTTAGAACCAACCTATGCAGAATTCTCTATAATGAAGAATGTTAGAATGAGTTTTCTTTGTGTAATAGCTTCCCAACTAGGCAGAGTACTCTCTTTTGCAGTGAGCAAATTTCTTTTTAGCTACAAGATGCCTGATATGAAAGTCTTACTCTTAATTAGCACCCTGGGGCAAGTGCTGATAAAATTCTGTTTCTCATGATTATGGGAGAGTATGTGGAAACCCAGCGGAGGGCTCCTAAATTTCTTTATTTTATCACCAGGGCTGTCCATCCCCTGCTGTCTTGCACATCTGTGCAGTTCAAGTTGCTGCCTCAGAGAGAAAGGGCAACAAGGAAGGTTGGTCAAGTGACCCCCCAATGGAAGAGGGCAGAGGAGGCTTTGAGCTCAGCTGGGCTGAAGTCCTGAAACTTACTTGGGAAATAACTCTTTTCTATACCTTCAAGGTTTGCCATGAATGTTCCAAATTTATGCTCATCCTAAAGCAAGTTCCTCTGTCTGTTGTTTCCCCTTAATAAGCCTCAAGCATTTAAGTGGTTTGGAAATCTCCTTGCAGTGATTCTCCCACTTTGACTTGGACACACTCATGGCACTGGTTTGTTGGGCAGCACATGGGTATAGTGACTGAGATTCTGGAAACAGACCAGCTGAGTTTGAATGCCAACTCTGGCCTCTTTTAGCTATGTGACTTTGAGTAATTCAGTTCATCCCTCTAAGTGTAAATGTTCTTATATATAAAATGGGATAATTGTTATACCTAACTCATAAGATTGATGTCAGGATTAAATAATACAAGGTACATATATTACCTGCTACAGAGTAAATGTTCAATACTTGTGTTTTCACCTGGATTTAACAGGGGCAGGCAGGAATCAGAGGAAGCATGAACTCACAGGCATGAGCTCAAGCTCTCATCCATGAGTTTTCATGAAGGGTAGATCACAAGCAGGCTGGAACTGCATGGTTATGTTCATGATGTTTGGGGAAGCCTCATTTCTGCTTTTAAAGTCTTCCAATGGATAAAGTTAGAACCATCCAGGATCATCTCTCTTACTTAAAGTCAACTAATTAGGGGCTTTAATTACATCTGCCAAATCTCTTTACTCCACTACCTAGATTAGTGTGTTTGGCTGAATAACCAGACCCTATAACTAGCCAATATGATGCCCCAAAAAGCCATCCCCAACTTTTAGCTGTGATAATTTATAATAGTCTCTGTGTCCCCCGTGACAAATTACCACAACCTTGGTAGCTTAACAGAAATATATTATTTCACAGTTCTGGATGCCAGAAGTCTGAAACTAGAATCACTGGGTTGAAATCAGTGTGTCAGGAGAGTGACATCCCCTCTAGAAGCTCTAGGGAAGAATCAGTTTCTTGCCTCTTCTACATTTTGGTGACAGCAGCATTCCTTGGCTTGTGGCCACATTGTTCCAACCTCTGACTCTCTGGTCACATTGCTTTCTCCTTCTCTAGGTATGTCAAATCTCCCTCTGTCTCTTTCTTATAAGGATACTTGTGATTACATTTAGAACCTAGCCAAATAATCTTGGATCTTCAGACCTTTAATTTAATCTTGTCTGAAAAGACATTTTCCATATAAGGTAACATTTACAATTTCCAAGGATGAGAACCTAATATTTTTGGGGACCATTATTTAGACTACTACATCACTTCTCATGTATTTCTGGAAGCCTGCTTTGTGCCAGGGACTTTGCCACGCTGTTCCGAATGCGAAGATGGAATAGTCACAGTCTCTTCCTTCAAGGGCCTGACGGGTAACAAACAGAGAGTCTTCAGGTACATGAGTAGCCTAGCAGTAATACCAAGAGGCAAGTCCAAGTGCATCTGGATGGTTATTTGTGATGTGGTGAAGGATCTTAGAGGAGAAAAGAGATCTCTTTCAACTATGAAGAACCAGGAAGGTTTCATGAAGAAGAGAGCATTTAAGAGATCTTAAAGGATATGATTGTCTAGAGCAATCCTTTTCAAATTTGGGCATGTATAACATCACCTATGAAGCTTCTTAAAACACAGATTGCTGGGCTTTGTCCCAGAATTTCAGATTTAATAGGTCTAAAGTAAGGGCTAAGAATGCACATTTTAAACAAATTCAGGGTTGATGGGGATGCTGCTGATCTGGAGACAACACTTTGAGAACCACTGTTCAATACATGTAAAGATAATGGTGGGAGGGGAGATAGCTCTTTCCTTTCTTGAATTAATTTAGATACAATTTAGAGGTCACTTTCTCAGAGAGCGCTCCTCCTTGAAAACAGAAGAAAGCTTGTCACATTAATTTGCCCTGCTACATTTCTTCATATTATTTATCGTCACTATTGAGGGGGTGGTTTCTGTCTCTCCTGCCAGAAGGTAAGCTTCACGAGGATACAAACTGTCTCTTTTATTCACAGCACTTAGAAAAGTGGTTAGCACATGGTAGGTGCTCAATAAATATTTGTTAAGGAAAGAACGAATGATCTTAGGTCTCATGTAGCTTAATGTTTGTTAACTCCTCTAACCTTATTCCTTCAACACTAAACCAGTCACTTCATCCACAATTATTTAAATAGAATTAAATCAGTCAAGTTGGCTTTTCAAGAGGACTTTTTCATTTTTTTCAAAATGTTCTAGCTGACACAGTCTATGTAGAGCTGAAGATAATTTGGACTTAACTTAAGCAGTGAAGAAATGCCCATAAAGTAATTAGACTGGTTTGAACTCATTTAATTCTTAATATTTCCATTTTTGAATAAATATTTCATGCATTGCTCTTCTGGGAGGCAAAGATCCAGGAAATTTCAGCAATAATGTGTGTATAGAATTTCTTTTTCCCCACAGTAGCACATTTTGAAAGATATTTCAACAGGTTATGACAAGTAGAACAGGAAAATATTATTTTAATTTCCCTGGGTCAATTATTAGAATTACTGAAAAATATACTTAAATCACACTTTATCAGTGTGATCCACTCTGAGGAGGAGGGTACGTAAAAAAGGACTGGATTGGTTTATCATAATTAAGTTTGTGCCCAAAATGCCAAAAGAAATCAAATGTATTGGACTCATCTGTCTTGCAGCCATTGAATATAACCGTGAAAAGGGGGATTGAGCCTGTCTAAATGTGGCATGCTGCTATAAAGCAGGTGGTAAAATCTAAAGAAAATTTAAAACAAAGTACATCTTATGAGCTATGTTCCTAAATTTTCCCTTCAGAAACAGATGTCACATAATAAACCGTAATAAAAACTTTGAACATGTACAAGGACATTTTGAATAATTAGAAATTTATTTTAGTCATTAAGTTTGATGATAACTACAGGGCTCTTCCCTAATTCCTCTCCTTCTAAGCAGAACAAGAGAGGTAGAAATGGGGTCAGGTTAGGGGCAACATGATCTATGTGCAAAGGTGGGTGATCAACTCATCACAGTTTGCCTGGAACTTCCCTAGTTTTAGCTCTTACTACCTTGTATCCCAGAAAACTCCTATGTTCTTGGAAAACTTGGACAACTGGTCACCCTAGGCACAGGCTGGCTCTCTTATTGGGTAATGACACCCCGTTATTAAGGATAGTACACTGAGGTTGAATGGCCATTTCTCTGCATGAGGTGGTTCAATCTCTAATGAACTTTAGAGGCTGACTGGCTGCAATTCTCTTTCTCTAAACAAATAAATCCTTACCTCACGAAGCTAAATACCTAATTATAGTCATATAAAACAGCATGTACTTGTACAAATTTCTATTTTAGCTAAACTTTAAAATAAAGGTGGATGAATTTATGAATTCTTAACAGTTGATCGTTGCTTTTAATGCTCTATTTGACAAATTCACTCCCTGTCAAAAGATGTACAGTCATTTGGTGTTTCAATTTCCTCATCTTGTACCAATATATATATATTTTTGCTTTTGTTGGTAAGAGGACTATTTTAAATGTGTGTGTTTTGTGTGTGTGTGTGTGTGTGTGTGTGTGTGTGTGTGTGTGTGTGAGATAGAGAGAGAGAGAAAGAGAAGGGGCCGGGAGAACAAATACTATAAGCTAGGATTTTCTTTTCTTTCAAATTTTATCATTTATTAGCTCTTCTATTGATATTTTTCAATTGAAACAAAAGCTACACACCATTTGTTTTGGAGGACAACTTCTTAAACTGTCACTCACTTGTCTGTTCCCCCTTTGGGATATGGGTGATGTATGGACATCAAGGAACCTCAGACTGTAATCTTGATCCGATAGCCTCAGAGTAATAGAAAAGGGTGGGTTGAGTGGGTAAGTGGGAGGTAGTGTAGCCTAACTAGAAGAGTGAGGTTTACTTCCTCATGTCCCTATCTTCCCAGGTAATCACACACAAACAACTGGCTTTTCAGATTAAATTTTGTGTCTGCTCTGGAAAGGATGAAACTGTTTTGGACAATCAGTATGTGTGAAAGATTGTAAAATGGCCACCCAGTATTAATTCGCTTCTTATTTCTTACTGACAGATTCCTCATTTTGTTTGAGGCAGCAGTGTGAGTGGTTTAAAACACTCAATTTCCCAGCTTCATTTGCAGGTTGGGTGGCCATGTAGTGTAGTTCTGACTAATGAGGTCCAGGCAGATGTGCCCTTTGCTTTTCCTTTACTGGAGAGGCAATGACCATATTGTGGCCACGAGGCAACAATCATGAAGAAAAGGGCAAGGAAATCTTACAACATCAGTTTTGACGTTGTTGAGCTGGCAAGTGAACACCTACTTCTAGAATTTTCGTTAAATGAGATGACTTAGTCAAACTTTTGGTAGTAGCCACAGTTGCACGATTTTCTGTTTCTTGCAAGTAATTGCTGTCTAACTGATCCAGGATAGTATGCTACAGTGGAGAGTGTGCCACAAGAGGAAGCCGGAAAACTGTTCCTGGCTTGTTTTTTTTCTGCTTTTGCAGATTATCTTTTGAGGTCCATTTTGGGTCTTAAGAGGTTCAATTCCAACTCCAAGTCATTTTTGAAATAGAATTTGTTATTTCTTCTAGTGTGTGCACGTGTGTGTGTATGTGTGTGTGTGTAGGAGTACCTTATGATGGTTAATAGTAATAATGAGGATTATGTAGTCTAATTTTCTAATTTTCAGAGCTTATTTTCTTGCTGCTCCTTATTAAGTTTCTCTGGGAAAGATTGTCTTCTCTGGATTATGTTTGTGCAGCTACTGCAATTCTATTATATAGCCTGTCCTTCAACCCAAAGTTTGTGTTGAAATTGATTAATGTTGATGAATTGCCTTGAGCTTCATGAAGATCTGAAATTATTACAACCTGAGGAAGGAAGGGCCGTGCTTATGTGACTAAGACAGACAAATCTATAAGAAAATCTGTGCAATTTTTGTTTTCCTTGAGATACACTTGTGAATGGACCCCTGTTTCTCCTTGTTCACTCTCTGCAGCACCACGGAGTTGAAATGCAATAGGTTGAAATGGTTGTGCTCTGAGTCTATCTGATGTCACTGTTGTTACCTAGACACAGAGGCAAGCAAGGTTTCATGACTGGTTGGAGGTTACAAAATCCACCCACTTCAGGGATGACCTTGATGTCTTTCAGGAATTCAGGCTCTGATAAGTATAATTAACCAGTGGGAAATCTCAAAAGGAACAGCGTCTTCCTCAATATTCAACTAATTCATGTGTTCATGTGTTTGTGTTTGTGGAAGCCTGGGTTCATACACATATACTCATACAGCTTCACTAGCATTTTATAGTCATATCTATGTTTTGATAATCTATACATATATTTATATGTATATTTATAGAACTGTGAATATGTGTATAGGAACATTACTTCTATTTGGCATCTGGTAGTAAGTTGCCATGAGGTATAAATGTTCAACTTAAAAAAAAATTGTATATGTATTTGATGATCGTTTTAATTTTATCAACAAACATTTCCTTTTTTTCAAAGCATAAATGTGCAATATGCCAAAACCTTCATCAATTTTTTGGCGCCTGCAGAGTAAGCCCTACCTCCACAGGATGGCATGCTTTCAGTTTGGCTTCTACTCATGATTCTAATTTCAGCTTCTTCCATCTATCCTCCCCCCAGTAATTTCATGTTATGATTTAGTTTCGTTTAGTCCCCAAACACATCTTACTCTTTAGCATCTCTATGCATTCACATGAACTGTCTCTTTCATCTGGAACACCCTTCATCCTTTTTCTTCTGGTTTTGGGAAGCACTAATTCTACTTGACACCGTGTTATAATGTCACTCCTTCTCATGAGTTCCCATCCACTAAGAGTTCTTATTTCTGTACCTTTATTATAAGTCCTGTTTCATTGGATTGTAATTATTTTTTCCTGAAATTTCCCCTCTGTTAGTTCCTTAGTTACCTCTGATACCCTCTTTAGAGGTCTATGTGAGGTTTTTCTCTTGCAGTCTGTATCTGAAGGTAAGGTAATGGGAACAGTTATGATGGTTACTTGAGGAGAAATTTTGCCCTTTTGTTGAGATGGGAGGGAAGGATATATGTGCAAAGATGAATCTGCAAAATATTTTCTTACATTATCGTGCTTCTAGTTGGGGCCTTAGAAGGGAACTTACAATTCAAGTCATTGTGCCTATGTTATTAGTCACATGTGCCTATTGACTATTTGAAATGTGACTAGAGTAACTGAGGAACCGGATTTGCAATCTTTTAAAATTTTACTTCATTTAGATTTACATTTGATTAAGCATATTGGCTTATTCTTGCCATATTGGACAGTGAAGGTATTTCGTACTTAGGAAAGTTCTCAGAGTTCACATGTGGGTTCAAGGGTTATTTTAAAGAATCCTAGATTCAGGAAGTAAATTGATCTCATTATCCTAAGGCACTTGAAACACAAAACAAAATCCAGTTCAGTTTACCAATTAATATTTTTATTTACATTAAATGTTAACTCACTTTTATTAAATAATCTATTATGCTTGGCATCATTAAATATTACACAGTATGGACCAAACTAGGGAAGAAATATTTGTTCATTCTAATAGAATTAATGTCTCTTTTCTTTTCCTCCTTCAGGATTGGTTAAAAATTGTTTGGTTTCTAAGCTCATGCTAATACATAATTACCTTTAGTTCCATGGAGAGCAACAGCAAACAGGTAAATTCCAGGACCTGAAGGGTAGCACCCAATAGTACAGGACTGCAGTACTACAGGACTCCAAGGTGCAATTTAATAAAGCATAGACTTAGTTATAATCTTTAATTCCATTGGGGTACTACTGTATTTGAGCCCATGAAGCAGTAATTTTCTAAATTGCACCCTAGTGGCCTAAATGTTAATTCAGCTTTCAGAGATTTCTAGTTTAAAGTCAAAGAGTTTGTTCTACACTATTACATCTCTGTCTACAAATTTTATTTCCTTTAAACCTCTAGATTAAGAAATCACAGCTTTCAAAATGAAACTGCAAATTAATAGATGGAGGAGGAATCATCCATGAATTGACTGACTGAACTGCATACCTTTTTTTCAGATGCCAAGAATTCATTTTGATTCAGTTTCTAGCAAGCTCGAAACAAAGTTTTGTGATCAATTTTGATAATTAACTATCTCAGGAGTCTGGTTATGTGTACCTTTTATTCATTTTAATTTCATTGGTCTATTTTAACTTTTATTGCCCTGTTTTATAATGTGTTTGGTTTTGTAAGCTATATCAGGTAGGTGCAAATTTCCTCTCTCACACTCAGACGCACAGAGAAAATGTATTTCTTTTCTATCTTTATTGGCTAATAATATCCCATAAGAGTCCTACATTTTAGGTGGGCTAAGGCAAATTTATTTAGCCCAATTCAGAAAATAAAATTCTTCCTTAAGGTAAAAGTAGATTCTGAGGTTCTTTTATTCCTAATTTTCATATCTCCTCCATTTTCCTCTTTTCCCAGAGGCTATTGGATGTATAGTGAGTGTGGCTTACATGGTCCCAAGGGGATGTGATAGTTGTGAAGTCATGGGATCCAGCTATATCTTCCCCTTTCATAGGATGACATCTGTCAGGGGACTAATAGAGTTGCTCTCTGGGTTGTAAATGTGCTGAGGTGTGACAGGTCCCACCTGGTAGAGGAGGATGCCCTTCTCTCCTCATTTTTTACGAAGAATGATTTTCCCAAATACTCCTGTGGCCTCTTGCCTTACTCCTCAGTCTCCTCCTGACAGAGAGGGATTGTGTACCTGGTGAGAAGGCAATAGGTTTCTTGATTGTTTGGGGAGAATTTATCCAAGGTCTTGAGTGTGGTTCCTATCCTCAGTGAGAAGCAATGGCTGGTCAGCCTTAAGAACTGACACTGCCCTTAGGTGTGTTGCCCCCGTGTGGCCATGGGTTTGTATAGGGAATGACCTGGTGCATTTGGCTCTCACACAAGCTGCCACCTTTGATCCATATACACCATTAATGAATGACATTTTGACCTTCATCTTTACTTTTGTGTTGTATTTCTAAAATTCTAGATCCTTCATTGGTGAAGGGTTTAGGTCTTCCTAACATATCTAGGTGCCCCTCAGATACTCCTAACATAGTAGTGTCTTTAAGAACATAACAAAATAAAGAAACTGGAATTTTATATTCTTGGAAAGACTTTTGGCGAGTCAGAAAGATTAATTCTTTCATTTTAATACTTTCTTCCCTTCTTCTTCTTTTTTTTTTTTTCCAGTTTTGGTTAAGACCCAGTTTAGACTATTTGCCCAAACTTTGGCCAATTGAAAGACTGTATCACCCCTGTTGCATTTCCTCAGCCAGTCACTGAAAGTTACTTTGGCCAGTAACTTTCGGTAATTGGCCAAAGTGACTGAAGTTACTTTACTGAAGCTAAAGTAAGTAGGAGATGACAAACACTGACATTTGTTGGGGGTCTGATCAGGAAATTTGGGACTTGTTCCCTTGGCATTCTTCTATGTACCTCTCTGCCACTTCTTGCCATCACCACATG